CTTCTTCTTCTTCTTCTTCTTCTTCTTCTTCTTCTTCTTCTTCTTCTTCTTCTTCTTCTTCTTCTTCTTCTTCTTCTTCTTCTTCTTCTTCTTCTTCTTCTTCTTAGCGTGGTCCATATCCAGGGTGAGTCTAAGCCCGGGAGAGTGCCACGCGTAACGTAAAGTTTTTGTAGTGTTTCTATGTAAATTTCGTCAAGTAACTCCCATGCTAGAAGGTGTTTTGGAGTGTGATAAATTTGTGAAAAAACAAAAGTTGTAAGTAGAAGTGAAAAGTAGATGGTTTGTTTAAAAGGGCTCATTGAGTCCATTTTAGGCGTCTGAAGTCATAATCTAGAAACAGAAGTTTAGATACAGTTTTCAAACACAACCACAAGCACCCTTCTAACTTCCCTAGATTCTGCGTTACAGCATGGCATAATGATGAGAGTTGTCCGTGTGTGTGTGTGTCTATATATATATATATATATATATATATATATATATATATATATATATATATATATATATATATATATATATATATATATATATGAATTAATTCAAGTGAGAATGATCCTTACTGTGAGAATAGACCTTATCGTGAAAATGGTGCATTTTTATGATGTCACGATGTAATTTTTCATTGTGCAAGTACATTTTCGGCACGGGGAGTAAAGTTCAACTTATTTACCATAATGTCGCCGTGTTTTTTCAGATTATTTCTTTTTTTTTTAATTTTTCAAGCCCTTAGATCTTACATCTAATGCACGAGATACATTCTTATTTCTTTCATTAGATCAAATTCTCACTTGATCCAAAATCTGTGTGTGTGATCTTCCCTTTGTTGGGTTCCAATGTTATATGCTCTTTGTTTGAAATTTTCATGTGGCAGGTTATGATATTTGGTTGAAATTATTTTTTGTTTCAGTTTATTCTCGTCCTAAAATATGGCGTACTCCCTTCGTCCAAAAAGAATTTCTTGTTGCTTATGAGATTTGACTGATGTTATTTTCAATTTAATTTATTTCAAAATTTATAAGTAATTAAAAATAAAGTATATATATTTAAAAATTACATAAAAAAATTTAGTACAAAATAAGAGGTGACAATATTATCATTTTCTCAAATCGGTAGCCAAAATGAGTAAAAATATGATTAAAAGTTGACCTTGTAAATAGTAAATGAGTAACTTAAATTAGAAATTATTCACCACGTTAAATTATTTCTATACACTTTCATTGATAATTTGATCGAACAATATAATGATCTCACATTTTAGATTTAAAAACTTTTAATATAATTTTTAAATATATACATTTTATTTTTAATTTTTACATCAATTTTAAAATTTACTCCGCATTAAATTAAAAATGAATTTAGTCGACCATTATAAAAGTAGTTTATCAAAATTGGGACAAAATTAAAAACAAATACTTCATCCGTTCTATATATTTCTTCCCATCTTGTTTAGGTCATACTATATTCCTCATATGAAAATGCCATTAATATCTCTCTTCAATTTACTACACTAAGAAGGATCAAAATGAAAAATCAAATACTTCTTTATCTTGTATTAAAAAAACGTGCTAAAAAATGACAAGAATAATAAAGGAAGTGTATTGATAATTTTTGTGAGGAAACTATGGTTTACAGTCTTTCAAATGTGAGTGAACACCTGACTAAAAAAAACTTATTACAACAGAAGCAACTCACCAACTTGATCAAACCAAGAGTGATTATAAAAAATAACAACAAAAAACCAATGTTTTTTTTTCTTCACCAAGGATTATACCTAATGATATGAACACAACTAGTGAGTCTATGGGAGTGGAGAACTGAGGCCCTCTTGCGAAGACAACGAGCGGATGTTCTGGTACCTTCTAGAAGACACGGACGGTCTTCTTATGAGCGAAGGGCGCTTGCTGAGCCGGTGCAACGTCCGCTTCGCGCGCACCGACCGGAAGAAGGGCAACACGCGTTCCTTTGCCTTGAGGACGAGGAAGAACACGAGCCGGTACACCACGATGAGGCTAAACAAGGCAACGAGATCCCACCACTTGGAGTGGTCAAGTGGTATCTTGTAAAGGTTTCGTATCACGTCCTCTCCTTTCATCTTGTCTCCCCCGGGAAACAACGGGTCGAATTCAAGTCCAAGTATGTCGTTCTTGTACGCACCCTGTAATCAAATCACGTTCCAGTTTCAGAATTGGAAAAGAGTTCGTTCAAGACACTTGGACCAAACCACATTGTATCTGAGTGTTAGTGTACATGACATTGGAATGAGAAACGTAGCCATACCTGGAGGGACCATGCCCCATAGCCTATGTACGAAATCGGGTAGCGCCAAAACACCTTCGGAAGGTCATCCAACAAGCGGAAAAATCCCGCCGTCATCATCATAATTCCCTGAACAAAAGTAACACACAGTGTGACAATTTTGCAATGTAGTGTCAGACCTTTTCTAGGCATACAGACACAAGCTTGAGCTTTTGATTGAGCTGGTTCCTTAAAAAATAATGGAAAATAATGTTCATCCTAGGACATAAATACTTTGCACCTTTGGACTTACCAAAACTCCGGCACCGGTGATGATACCCATAAGAAAGTTGGGAACAAGGGAGGCGACGATCATCATGCAGCTCTCGACCATGGCAATGCATCCAAAGAGATTAAGGCAGAAGAAAACGTATTGCAAAAAGCTGGCCTGGAATACCATGTAAAAAGTGATCGTCCCCGTGAGCACTGAAACTGCTACTAAGAATGGGAAGGACGAAAAGAAGTTTGCCAATACGAAAGCTCCAACCCCATAGTGTCCATTTAGCCTTTCCTTGGTAAACACCTGCCAAAAATGAAAAAAAAAAATGTCAAAACAAAAACAAAATCAAAAAGAAAAAAAAGTGCATCACTTTAAAACCACGGCCTTGTCTCGGATCAACGTTTTCAAATACTCCCTCCGTCCGGAAATATTCTTTACATTTGACATTTCTTGGTCAAAGTTTGTAAACTTTGACTATGATATGTGAAAAAGATACATTATATTACGATTTAACTTTAATATGAATATATTCATTTTGAAATATAGTTTTCAAATATCAAATTTTTATAAAATATATCGATGTATAAATAAAGATATTAGTGGTCAAAGTGCAATCTTGGAGACCGTAAAAAGTCAAATGGGAAGAACATTTCCGGACGGAGGGAGTAGCATTAGCATTTTGAATAATTTTTGTAATGTGCCGACTAACACTAAAAATCCTAAATTTAAACAGTACTATTAGATAATCTTTTCAAAACGCAGAAATCGTTGCCAAATGGGCCCCACGTATATTTTTTAAATGGGCATACATTCTGTTGTTAACTATGAACATGAATGAAAATAAAGTTGTGCTTACCCTCATTTCTTCTACAAACGAAGGGAAGCCTCCGATGGACATAAAGGTCATGTATCCGGTGATGAATCCACCGCAAGCTCCCCGAGCCAAGATAGCGGTGTAGCTGGTGCCAACCCTAAAAAATAGGGTTCCGACGCATACAGAAACAATTATATATATGATTATGCGCGACCAATAATATCCGAGGTCCCGTGACATGTTCTTAAATGACCTTTGAGTCAATGTCACCAATTGTTTCACCCATCCCGCTTGGCTTCCCTTAATCGTCTCTATTTCAATATCTTGCTGCATGCATACATATAATAGATCAATGCATTAACCAAAAGATGACACTTAAAAGCTCCAAATGTAAGTAAGAATTGCATAGTTTGTTGCCAAATATGAATAGTTTGTCTCTATTATTTGATAGCTTTCTAAGTCTACGAGGACTCGTTCCTATATATACTCTCGTATATCCTACTTATCATTTGAGTAATGCAATTATTCCATTAGAAAGCTCTAAATACGTACGGTTCTAGAGAGTTCTTGAAGCCTTGATCTCGCCCTTGCGCCATATTCCGATCTTCTAAACTTTTCGACAAGCATAGCCTTGATATCCGCTGTCGCCATATTCATCAGATAATCGCTCTTATCTGTTTCCTGATAATGCAAATGCCATACACAATGTTAAGTAGAGCTGAGTATTATATTTTACGCATATTAATTTTTAACCAACCTATCATATCATATCTATTCACTATTAATCTACTAACCACATCCAAGGGCAAAATTGGAGAGTCAACTACAAAATACACTCTTTTTATATTCCGTATTTGTCAAAAGTGAAAATTTGAACAGTTTTTTGAAACGGAAGTATTCGAGTAGTTGAAAGAAAAGAATATAACCAAAATTGGTGTCATTCTTACACGGAGTCGCATTGAGCCTTTCAATGTTGCTGTCACAATGTCAAAGTCTGAATTGATACACCTTAGAAAGTGGTCCGACGGGTTTCTTCTACTTGGACATGGAAATCCTGCTTCCGCAAAAAACTGAAAAAAAAAGACATTTTAGAGGACATTGATTTCGTAAAAAAGAGAAAAAGGAAAAATGTAAACTTCATTAAACTTCATGTTTTGCACTGTCTGTGTCTGTCTGTGTGCAAAGCATGATGCCATCAAGAATTTACCTGAACAGCATTCTTGGCCTCTCCAAAATAAACCGTTTCTCCACCGGAGAGCAAATAGAGGTCATCAAACAATGCAAAGACCTCACTGCTGGGCTGGTGAATAGAAGAGATAACCGTTCTCCCGTCCCGGGAAATGTTTTTGAGGGCTTGAACGACAAAGAAAGCCGATGCGCTGTCGAGGCCGCTGGTCGGCTCATCGAGAAACAGGATGTGGGGCCGCACGAGGATTTCTAGGGCGATGCTCAGCCGCCGCTTCTCGCCGCCGCTTATCCCCCTCAGCTGCCAGTTCCCCACCACCCTATCGGCGCAGTCCACCAGCCCCATTTCTAGGATCGTCCCCTCCACGATTCCCTTTATGTCCTCGTTGGTTAAGGTTGTCGGAAGGCGCAGCTTGGCTGAATATGTGATGGCTTCTCGCGGCGTCACGGTCCCCAACAACACGTCTTCTTGTGTCACGTAAGCCTGTCACGACACTTTTTTCATAAAAAGGTTCTACATTTTCTTGTTTATTTGTCTCACAAAAAAATTAGTGAAATTTGCACTAAATAGGACTAAAACGGAAGTCATTTCCCAATGTAGGACTTAAACTTTTTTATCCAGGACTTAATAATGTCTAGTTGGAGGAATAATGTCCAGAAATGATGAACATTTACTTGAATAATGACTAACTGATAATGACCAAAAGTCCTACATTGGAAAATAAAAACATACGGTCTTATATTGGGAAAGTTAGTGTTTTAGTCCTATTTAGGTAAATTTCTCAAAAAATTATACTACATACTTTCTATTTATAGAAAATTTTATGTGGAATACTATATAATATTCAAATGTTACATTTAAATAAAAAAGAAAAGCAAAAAAGGGGAGGCCACTTACGACAACGCCGTAGCTTAGACGCCTCTTTTTACCGTTGAGAAGAATATCACCCGTCATGACGACGTTACTAGACAACCTACCTGAAATGAGATGACATAAAAGTTTCACGACAACGGTCTCACTTATTTAAGAAAAGAATACTTGGCGATAGAAAGAAAAAGTGGCGATGTTTACTAAATGTATTTGAAAAAAAGAGGGGAAGGGAGGGAGTAACATTATTAAAAAAAATGAGAAAGTGGTCAAAAACCAGATCCAATATCGGTACGTGACCAAAGAGCCCGAGCGCCGTTTCGGCAATGCGGGACCCACAACTCAGGCTCTTTGGTTAACACAACTACGCGGTATCCCTCGACTTGTTTTGAGTTTTGACGTGAGGATTACCCCAATTTTGACATCATCTTCTTACAGATATTCAGACATTGACACTATTGTGTGTATGTGAGTAGTGTCAAAATTGAAGTACACCTAGCTTAATTAAAAAAAAAAGAAAAAGGATAAAATAGATAGAGGATGAATGAAAATTATTGAATGGAATGGACAGCCATTAATATGCTGCATGGTGCAGGACAACACATAAATATAATGTTTCCTTCTCGTTTTTTTTTTTGTGCCAAAATAATTTTTTCAAATTCTTTTAAATAAGGATTGAATATTTAACATTATTTTTCTCACACAAATTCCAATCACACAATTTTATTTTTTCTTAAACTCCATAATAAAACAAAACAAGGTTTAATTTGAAAGGGAGATACTATCAGATCAAGATAATACTACGTGTTTTCTAAAAAAGAAAAAAAGAAAAAAAAAGTGCACAAAATCATGTGTAGAAGACAAAAGAAAGCGAGTTAGGCAGAGTACCGTTCAATTTATTTTTTCTTCTTATTACTTATTCTTATTATAAATCAGATCAGACCATATCAGAAACAGCTTTAATTATAATTGCAATCTGATCAGATGAGACTAGATAGATCAGATCAGAGTAGATCAGATCTTCAAATAATCAGATCAGATCAGATCAGACGAATGGAAGGCAACCTTAGTTAGGTGAGCCATTATTCAATCATTTACTGTATCATATATTTATTCATCTGTCCAGCGCCTAACCACTGGATGAACAATCACATTTATTATCCCATTCTTTCTTCATTCATTACTTTGACAAGATACTAATATCTAATACGGACTACTTCATTCATCTCAATTTAAATAGTTTGTTGTTATTTACGAGATCTGAGTATTTTTAATTAATTTAAAAATTGGTATATAATTAAAAAATAAAAATTATATACGGAGTATTTAATAAAAAAAAATTACAAAACAAGATTTGATAAGGCTATATTATTTTCTCGAATGGATGGTGAAAATGGGTAAAGAACGCGGTTAAAATTTGACCTTGTCAATATGGTAAAGAGACAACTTAAATTAAGACGAAGAGTAAGCAATTTTAGTATGATATTTTAATCAGTTGCTTTGCAATTTTTTTATAATACTCCGTACAAAACTTATGTGAAACAACAAAAAGAAGAATAATTTAGTAAAGCAATTGTATCTTAAGCTTTAAAATAATACTCCGTAATAAAAAAAAAAATTCCTAAGCAGCTTATCAAGTAATATCACTAAAGCTGCTCTAACATATCAACCCCATACTATGTCTGATTTATAGATAAATAGGGAGTAAAAAAGATGAACCATCTCTAGAATCTTTAGATTATTTCTAAGCAAATTGAGTCATAATCTTATTTTTGTGTACTTTTTAAAGCAAGGAAAATGATTACAGATGATTTCCCATCATACCCTTTATAAAAGTTAAAATCTTTCCTTTTACCCAATATGGAAATGGACAAATTGTAGCAGATGAAGACAAAAAAAAAGTAGGTCTTTGGGGACAACATTAAACAAATTTTGGATAATATTTTAATACTACAATTAACTATAAAAACACTAAAATTAAACATTGACACTGGATAATTTTTTTAAAAAACTTTTACTTGCTTTTTTAAAATCAATATCAGTTACAAAATCTTTTTTTCATTGTAATAAAAATTAAAAATAGTGAGAGGAAGAAGAACCTGCTAAGGAGTCAAGAAGTGTGGATTTGCCGGAGCCAGACGGGCCCATAATGGCCATGATCTTACCGGGCTCGGCATACCCACTGATCCCATGAAGCAATTTCTTAGTTGGGCCGGCCTGCCCGAAATTCGGGAGGACCACCCTCAAGTCTTCCCACACCAGGTACGCCACCCCTCCCTTCCTCTGCAGCGGCGGCGCCACCGCCATCCCCCCGCTCTCGATGTCCCCCCTCCCGCCTCCTCCGCCTCTCGCCGCGCCGCCCTCTATCTCCATCTCCACCGCCAAATATGAGATCTTCAAATACCTCTCTATATCTTTGGGATATAAATAAATAAATAAATGTGTAGAGGGGCGGAGGAGATTGGGGGTGGGGAAGTGGGAAATGGGGAGACTTAAATGTTAGTTGTGTTTTGGCGGTGGTTGTTTTGCATTTTCCATTCACATTTTTTGTTGTAGACTTGCAGCTGTGCAGTTGACCCTCTTTTGGAGTGTGTTTGGGTTGGCATATTTATTGGACAATGTAGCATTTTTAGAGGAGTATTTGACTTCATTTTTTACCTTAAAAAAATAATACCCTTTGTCTTAAAATGATCTTCCTAGTCATTATTTACATGGGCCTTGTTTGGATGTTAGCGGTTAGCTGTTGGTAGTTGGCTGTTTTGAATGGCTGATTGAGTTAGCTGTCTTGACCAGCGGATTGTATTGGCTGTTAGAAAAAAATTGTTTGGTAATTTTAGTTGTTCATAAACAGCTGTTTGCAATGAAAATTACATATTTAGACATGTCTCCAAATATATTGCTTAATTTTTCTTAAGGATGTGTTAATTACTTCCTTCGTCCAGAAATATTTTTCCCATTTGACTTTTTTTGGTCAAAGTTTGTAAACTTTGACTATGATATGTGGAAAAAAGCCAATGTATTAAGATATAACTTTAATATGAATATATTCATTTTGAAATATAGTTTTTAAATATCAAATTTTTTATAAAATATATCCATGTATAAATAAAGATATTAGTGGTCAAAGTGTAATCTTGGATACTGTAAAAAGTCAAATGAGAAGAACATTTCCGGACAGAGGGAGTAATTTATTGTTTTGAATCGTTTAAATTTTTAAATTTTGATAACAATAACAACCTAGTAGGATCCCAGGAATGTAGGATCAAGGAAGGGTGTTGTACGCCGTTCTTACCCATACTCAGAAGTAGAGAGGATGTTTCTTAAATATAAAAACACATAATTTTTTTTGAAAGTTATTCTTGAACACTTAGAATTTAAACATTATTTATTTTCTATAAATATTTATAATCATTTCATTTTAAAATAAAAATTTAAAAATATGATGCTAAAAAAAGAGTAGTGTACTATAAAAATTATTGAAATGAAGAAACATGTCTATGATAAGAAAAAGAAAGAAAAAGAATGCTTTGATAAAAAAAAATGGTGATGATGGGGGCATCTCTTTTTTGGGAACGGCTCAAGAAGGGCAAAAAATTAAATATATGCAATCAGCCAATTAGAAATGCTACTCATGTTGGCAGTTCAAATTTCGGCAGTTCGTGGCCAACAGCTAATTGCAAAAGCTAGTGTCCAAACAATTTTTTTGGCAGATTGAAAAGTCAAAAAAGCCATTCATGGTCAAAACATCCAAATGCTACCTCAACAGCCATTTACCAAACATGGCCATGGTCAAATTTTAATCACTTACTTTACTTATTTTCGTTACTTATTTGATAAAATAATATAGTCATGTCACCTCTTGTTTTGTAAAAATTTTGATGTTGTTTTAAAATAAATAGTTTAAAATTTTTAAATTTTACACCTATAATCAAATAAATTGAATTGAAAATAAATTCAGTCAAACGTCGTAAACCGAACTGGGAAGATCACTTTAGGACGGAAGGAATAAGAATATTTATCTCGAAGGATACAATCAGCAAAAACTAAAACTTGATGTGTATATTCACATAAATTGGAGATTTTGTATTATGTTTTGTCATATATGTAAATTTTTTTAAAGAAAATTGTATAGCATAATATTGTTACCCTGTATGTTAATTAGGATTAGACACGGTACAGGTCCAACTTTGGTATGGGTTCTACAGTTGGCGATGCCGGTAGCCATTTTAGAGGAATCAGAATTGATAGCGTGTAGGGATAATTCTAATTCTGATTCAAACTCTTTTCCTGGTACGCTTGTCCTAAAATGATCTTCTCGTTTCTGTTTATAAAGTTTGACCGACTTTATTTTCAATTCAATTTATTTAATTATAGGTGTGAAATTTAAAAATAAAATTTATATTATTTTATCAAATAACAAACAAAAATAAGTAAAGAAAGTGATTAAAGTTTGATCACATGAATGATAATTGAGAAAAACGTTTTAGGACAGAGAGTAATAAATTTTGTGAATCAACCTCAAACTAATTGAAAATAAACATAAAAGTATAAAAAAAACTATATTGGTATCAGTTCCGGCTTTGGTACCAAGAATTAAGAACCGGAACCAGAATTTTTACCCACAATTCTGATCCCGGTTCCAAAACTAATTCTAATCTGATTCATGCTAGGGGTACACCAAAGGTGTACCCCATTTGTCCCCCACCCCCTTCTCCACCACCCATTTTTATCTACTTTTTATTTATTTAATTTTTTTTAAAATTCTTGCCCATTTATGTGATAATGGAGGGGGTGGGGGACAAATGGGGTACACCAAATGGTGTACCCCTAGCATTTTTCTTTTTTTTCGATTGGATCTGGATCCCTTCCAGTGAGGGTAGGGAGTGTAATTGGCCGGGAGCAAGCTTGGTTGGTGTACGAAAGTGGTTGCATTTATGGGATAATTATTATTCTCTCCGTTCCAAATTAAATTATTTGTTTACTATTAACAAGGTCAAATTTTATTCATTTTTTTTTCTTTTTCGATAATCATTTGATAAAATAAAATAGCCATGTCACTGCTAGTTTTGTAGATGTTTTGATTATAATTTTTTAAATATTTAATTTTTTTAATTCTGCACTTTTTTCATATAAAATAATTTAAAAATAATGTCAGTCAAATATCGTAAATACAGATTGGGAGGGAGGGAATATTATTAGCCGACTCGTCCGGTTTTGATGGTCATTACTCATTAATGGCTAAATCCAGTTATGCACAACCTCAATCTGTTCTTTTGAGTTAAAAAAATTAACTTTGAACTTTTTCTTTATTTCTTTTAATATCCAATTTTAAAATTCTAACCCAAAAAATAAGCCCCAAACCGTGAAATATTTTTGAAACTTGACATCAAACACATAATAATTGTTCGTAAATTTGTACACACATAAAATATAATCATTTTTAAATAAATAGGGTTCACAAAAAATATTTCGCATGCGTAGATATTAGCGATTGTCATCGTGGAGTGTAGTGTCTAAATTGGTGAAATCAAATCACAGAATGTGTCTCAATTGGCCAAGGACAACTAGTTGTACCTTAGTGTAAAAATCACCAAAATTTCCCAACAATATAAAATATACTCCGTACTCGGTAACAGTGAATAGTACATATTAAAAGCTACAGATTACACAAAAAGAAAACCTCATCTTAAATTTTCATTAATAAAAAAAAAAAGTGGCAAATTAGTACAAGAGGTGACATTGTTTCAAATGGGATTCAATGTATATCAAAACTAAAAAAATATGTTAAATATGGATCCAAAATTGAAATCATTGGGGCACTTCAATGTCCATCTCATTACCTTCACTCACACTGTACTCTTCTGCTTTCACATTTCTACCCTTTGTGTTTGCTTCAGCCAAGCCATTGCTTTCCCCATGAGCACGAAGCCCCGAAGCCGCCGGTTTGTGCCTCTTTATCTTGCTAAGAGCTCTTTCCGTCCTTTGGGGACTATTTGCGGAAAAATATTTTGTCATGTTTGGCGTAAAGGCCTATTTATGGAATAGTTTTCAAACATTGAGGACCATTTATGTAATATCTTAGAATTTGGGACTTAACATGGAAAATCACTTGGAATGAAGGACCATTCATGGCCTTTACTCTTTAAAAAATTATTCTCGGCATTTGCTTTGGATGGAAGCAGTATGGAATGTTTGAATTCGGCTTTTTCAGAGACGAAGAAGCAGAAGCCGAGAAGCACATCTATGACGCTTTTAGGTTCAAAACAATCACTTTTCAAAAGAAAATGCACCAAACGCCGTCTTATTATCACATACCGCAATCTTTATCTTGTCCGAAATGTCTGCAGCCTTAACTGAGGCAATGCGCAGGCATTGCAGTATGACACTCTGCATGATGCCATCTCCTCCAGGCTTTTGAATTGCACAAACATCACCATTTGCATTTAAGGTGACAGTCATTCTAGATCCCATGACAGCCTCTTCGAAGTGGGTTGGGTCTATCACCTAATGGCACCCAATACAGTTAAAGAGAACAAAATTAACAATGGAATTCGCACACAATACACTTGACTCAAATAAAGAATGCACTCCGTCTAAAGCTTACCACAATGTTCTCTTTTCCAATAAATGCAAAGGTGATCGCGATAGGCATGTGGTGTATAATCAAGGGCAGTGGCTCCCTGACCTGTGTTGTGAAATAAATGATTAACCCAATGAAGATTAAATTACTGTTTGAGGGGCAAAATGGGATCTATGGTAACCAGCTAAGCTCCCACGTAAATGGGATTAAGGTCATAATAAAGGAAACAATAATAGTTTGCATATACTACCAATAAGGCAATACAATATGGAACTTGTAAGTTAAATAGAGACACTAAAACCAAAGATGTATACAAATAAAATATGTGGTTATTGAAGACGGCTGCGGCTTTACACAATTTGAGTTGCATAAATTCGCTGTAAAATGTAAGAACTAGTTCAAATGACGTGAGAAAATTACAGTTTTCATCATGAAAGGTATTGAAGATGTAGAACGTTTTCTTTCAAAACCAACATACAATGCAAAATTTAACACGCGAAAACAAGATGTTGCTTTTTGTATATACCACAACCAAGTTCCCTTGAAGTGGAGAATTAGTACTCGAACAAAGCATAAGTACAAGTTATGAGCTGTCTTCTAAGCTAGTAAGTAAATATATTTTAAATCTTTGTTCTAGAATAATCATAATGAAATAGCATACCTCAGGTGGATGCAATATCACTTCTGGGCCATCTTCTCCTCCCAATGTGCATTCGGGTCTACGAAATGTTGAAAGAGCAGCTAAGGCAGCAACATTGGCAGCATCAACAATATTCCTATTCTCGGAAAGAAGGAAAAAAAAGTGGAAAAGGTAAATATTGTATTTGCCTCAAGTCAGACTATTGTAGCAGTAACAATCACATTACAACTTGCCCTCCATTGTCTAGAATGTGGAGATCAACTCGAATCGACCAAACCCATTTCCCGGAGACAACACAAAGAGATTCTGTGTCTATAGCTCTGCTCTCCCTGCATGTTCAATCCTAATTGTCAAATACTCAAACAGTTCATAAGAATTTCAAAGCATTTACCAATACTTGTGAGACGCAGCTTTCAAGCAAAGGCATCAAAACATTATAATGATATAACATCAACTGCATCTTACACCATGACTCTCAATATAAACAAAATACAAAATAAGACCAGATATACCAAGTATGTCCCACTCGGAGTAAGGTTTGAGAGGTGATATGTAGGCAGCCCTAACCTCTACCCCATGGGGGAGCAAGGTTATTCCTGTGAAGACTCCCAAGTAAAGAGCTAATTGAGAATGTAAATTGTTCATTCTTCCTATAAAGTTTGAATTTTATATGGTCCAACATCTAATGTGGTAACGAACTCTTCTAAATATCCTTCTACATCCAGGCCTTTGTGATTACAGAAGTTGTAAGGAAACTTAAGCACAAATAGGAGAACATAGCCCTCTTATTATCAAAGAGCAATCATGTCTCTACATTCATGCCGTTAATTGCAAAAGTTGTGGATTGATAATTCCAAATAGGACAGCTTAGCTCTCTTACTATCTGGACCATATCATGTTTTTTAGGGTCCATGTGGGACTCAAAAAATATTAGGAAGAGAAAATAGGACGGAGGAAGAGAAGAAAACTGAATCGGAAACAATGGGAGAAAATAAAAGATATGCTCAAACGAGATATTAATTTGAAACATTTGTTCAAACTAATTTTATGCATTTATTTATATTAATTGAGGTCTAGAAAGTCTGCATATAAGTAATGATACATAAAGATGTGTTTACCAACCTCTGCATTTTACAAATAAAACCAAACATTAAAAGTACTCCGGGTAAGTTTCATTTCCATAGAATTTTCTGGGATCCAAACATACTCGGAGATAAGAGTAAAAGAAAACTACCTCAGCCCACGATCAATTATGCGTCCCAACTCCACAGAAGACTCTCCAGGACGGCCTGCCTCAAATGAAGGATCAGCCATCGGAGAAAACTCAACAAAGATTGCAAGGCTTCCCTCATTTGGCCTATCACGATAAGGCTGCACTAATTGGGAAGTAACAACTCCCATCACATGAGTGTGCCCTAGTTGCACCTCTGATGTGCCTTCTTCTCTACACATTCAACATAGTCTCACAGCTAATAATGACTTCGAACAATTATGAAATAGAAAGAATTATTATTTTGAATATTCTACGCAGCTACATGCAACACACACTATCCGTGTATAGATGATTAACTTCCCATGAAAAGAATCCACTTTGATGAGTGCTCAACTTTTGAACTTCAGTAAGGTACAACTCTTAGAAAGCACTCAATCATCAATATACCTATTTAAATAAATGGAGAAATATGTCTCCTTTTATGGGGCTGAAGGAATATGTTAAATAAAATGGCCATCTCGATTCTCGAACTCTAAATTTGCCCATTTCTAAACCCAAATTTTAGGATATGATTTTATATTTTCCCATCCAATCAAGAGAGTTTCAAGTCAAGCTAACTACAGCATTGTACAGCAGAAAAATGATAAATCAAATCTTTAAAAAAATAAAATGCGAAAGTAAATCCCTTACCGGCCAAACTTAATAGTGAGTCGTCTATAGTCAAAAGGGCGCCGGCCGTCGACTCTGAGGTCGGAAACCAAGGCGGTTTTGATGAATTGCTTGTTATTCGCGGCCAACCTCCATGAATTAGCTAATCTCTGTTCCATGTCCGAATATCTTTCAAAACCAGCAAAAATAAAGCTATCAAGCACAGAAGAAAACCCTTAATTCCAGAATGAGAACTGAAATTATTGAAGAAACCAGCAACAAATTTTGAGCACTGGTGCAACCCGAAGTCCGAACTGCGTAGAAGAACTGGTGAAACGGGTTTTAGGGTTTATGCTTAAGAGGTTCCCCGCCAACAATTCTTTGTTTGTTTAGTTGCCAAGACGTCCAACAATCCAACCAAACGAATATTGGACTTGAATAATTGGTCTCTCATTTCTAAATTAATCTGATTATGTACGGAGTATATTTTTGGGGATGCAAAATTTGTGATTTTACGTTAATATAGTAAAATTAAATAATTTACATTAATACCCCCAAAAATTATTCAATTTTATATTAATACTTCAGACTGTCAACTAGAAGATTAGGTAATATTTTAAATGATGGCTATAAATTATAAAGTATGTGTTGGTAACTACAAGTGATAAAACATAAAAGAAATTAATGTTTAGACAAAATTAAGATTTTTAAAGTACATATTTCACAATCAAATTTATTTTCGTTGGAAAAATCTTTAAAATATAAATTTCGAATTATATCAAGTTTAAAATGCTCTAATTTTTTTATTTGAAACACTAATCATAATTTATCCGATCAAAATATAAACACTTTATTTTTAAGTTTTAACACATTTATATTTCTGACCGACATGGATGGGGTAATTATAACGCATTCAAGGTATTTTTATTTTTGCAATTCATTAGCAACTCATACTTAATAATTATCTAGTCACAATTTAAAATATCATGTATTCAGCTTAGTTGGCATCCTGGAGTATTGGTTTAAAATTGAGCAATTTTCGAGGAACAGTGGTGTAAATTATTCAATTCCGAAGTACTAATGTAAAATCACAAATTTATTGGAGTTTTCATGTGAATATTTCCTATTTTTGTTTGCATATGCTGCTTATAAGTTGAAAAAAACTACTTCATCCCTTTTGAATTAAGTTTTTTTTAACCGAAGATAAATGTATTGAGAATATTAGAAAGAGAGCTTACAAGCAAATAAAGCAACAAATTTACAGGGTTAAATTTTATTCACTTTCTTTTCCTATTTTCATTACCTATTTGATGAAATAATATCATACCAAATCTTGCTTCAAAAAATTGCTAACAAGTACCCCCTATTTTGTGATAAAGACTCGCAAGTCCCATCTTTTTTCTAAATATACTCTTAGGAGCTTAAAATATATTATTTGTGACTCAGGAGGGAGCTTCCGCCCATTGCACCGCTTATGCTATTGATTTGTCCATTATACTCCTAGTTTTTTCTAAAAAAGATAGACGAAGTACGGATTTTTTAGACTTTTTCCACTCGTGCCTCCTCTCCGTAGTTGGGCTCTGCTAATTGTCTAGGCTCAGATATAAGAGAACTTATAACACGTAAATAATAAAAATTTAACTTAAAATGGAACAGGTGGAGTATTACCTTTTTTGATATAATTTTGTACTCATATTTTTTAAAGTAACTTTCATATGGGGCCATAATTGAAAATGAGATTTTAACTTATACACTTCAAAACTAAGTTTATAATTTAAGTTTGAAAAAATTAAAACATTGTATAAAAATAAAGTGTTTAGTGAAAAGTAAAATATATGTGACATTTGTGGGTATGTATCAATTACGATGTGAAAAGTGAAAGATTTGTGGTACATTCGATCCTATTTAAGACAAATGATCTAAAATTGAGGTTTTTTTATCTAACGACTTCTTTTGTCTGAAAATAATATTCCTAAAATTTTTTTCATGCATGCATTTTAAGGAGAGTTGAGAAAATAATCTAAATGTTCATTTTACTCTTAAAGGGAGAGGTGGATGGGAAGAACTTTTCAAAGTTATGTGATATATTTTCTGGTTAAAAAAATTTGGAAAGAACTTTTCATACAAGAATTAGTATTCCCTGCGTCCCAGAATATTTGTTCAATTTTGATTTTTATTGTAGTCAACTAGATAGACATTCGATCAATAATTAAATAAGAATTACAAGGCATATCAATTAGATAAAAACAGTTTATGAAAATATTTAACAATATGTGTAATAAATTTATTCTTGTATCATTATCCAATATAACTTTTATTTAATTAATGATCAAAATTTATCAACTTTGACCTCAAACAATCAAAACTGGACTATTACATACTCCATGATGAAATTACAATAGTTTATTTTTGTGATTTTAGGAGTAGTGATAAGAAACAACAAGTCGCTACTAATTGAAGCTTTCAACGACAAGAAACAAAATTGAAATACATTTAATCTCACATAAATAAAATATTAATATGATTTATATATTCTAAGGGCAGAAGGTGATTGCGTAATTGGCCTGACCAGTTTTGCAAGTGAAAGTGCTTGTCTTGTCATCATAAGCATAACTATATGCATTGGGACACAACCCCTTGAAAAATAAGGAATATTGTGTCGGCGGGCATGTTGCTGGCGACCCATACTGCCCAGTGCAACAGTACTGCGGCTGCCCCAGTGCCAAACACGCGCTCTTGCATCCAACCACCGCCCCATTCCCGTCCTTCAACGCCAGCTCAGCCGGGCACTTTGCGTTCACGTCCACCGGGCAGTCTGTTCGGCGACAGTTTGGGTTGTCTGGCACGACGGACACCGGGAGGTTGAATCCGTCCACCAGGCTGACGTCGTAAAAATCCTGATCTTGGAACCCCCCTAACGTGAATTCCACTAGCGTTGCCGGAGGGATCGCTCCGGCTCTGTTGCACGCCACTTGGCCGGAGCCACAGTCAGCGGTCATGCATGAGAACTTTCCGTTCTGGACGGTGCATTGGGTCCTCGCCCAAAAACGCCCGGTCCATTTAGCGGGGATGTCGAATGACGTAGACGCGCCTTGTGCAAGTTCGAACCCGGTCGGGGCTTGAGAACTGCCGCCTCCTCCGGTGAGAGTTGCCGGCCAGATTGTGTACGGACAGTTGTTAATGACGGTGAACTTCGTAGATTTAACTTCTAAAATAATCAAATGAGTAGTCTTTAATCAAATGAGTACTAAAATCAAGTATAAAAAATGGTCACCCTTTGACCATGTAATAATAAATAGAAAATCTTTTTGGGACAGAAAAGTGCATAATAATTTCATGCAATCGCAAAAAAACAAATATCATAAGCAACTTTATATAAACTTATTTTATCAAAAAAAGAAGAGGAATAAAGTGAAATCTCAACATACCACAGAGGAAGGTGCAGGAGATGATGGCAAGAAGTAGTAGGGAAGGAGACAAAGAATCCATTTGGTGGTCTTTTTTAACAAAATTGAATTGAATTTTACTGTATAATTAAACTTTAAAGAATGAATATATGTATATGAACAAATTAGTTTGAATGCCTTGGAGGATTATAATTAAGCTTTAAATAGAGAAAACCCAATTGAGAATTGGCAACTAATTAGGTACACCAATTTATTACCGTGTCAAAATCTTTTAATTTATTTCCTATTCAATAAACTCCATTGTGATTAAAAAAATCTTTGAATTTATTTCCTATTCAATAAACTCCATTGTGATTAAAAGGTACTCCGTATTTATTTACTTATTTATTCATTTTTTTGTAAATGATCCTCTTTAAATGTTTCATTATAAGTTTGAATAAAAATACTGGTACTAAAAAAAGTTGAAAAGAATTTTAATTTTAAAAAGTTACTGTATAAGAAAATGAAAATTATTGGAATCAATATAGAGAAGTTTTTCGAATATTGCAGTGTAGTTTCAACTTAAAAAGAGGCAATCTATACAATTGGCCACTTTGTGTAATCATAGAAATGACATGACAAACACACACTATTTCATTGTTTTTACCTTTGTTTACGAAGTACTAGTATCACACCCGTGCATTGCACGGGTCATAGTTACGGTACTAACTTAAGATCATTTTTAGGAATATAAATTGGTATATAATGGAATATAGAGATTTCATTATTTTAAAGCACAAAAGTAAAATGATTTGCAAATTTCGAAAGACTTCTTTATAAACTACATCACTCATATGTATAATTTGTGTGAGCATTCACTCCGTTGAATATCAGAATCTTCAAGTCATTGCGATTTATTACTCTTTCAACTGCAACATACACTTTCTCATGACTAAATAACAGTTTCCGTAACAATAATTCAATATGTTTCAGATATTGTTTTTGATAATAATTCAATAATTTGACTTATCTAAGTAATAATTCAACATATTAATGTATTTATTTTGGAATTTGTATTTTTTAATTTTATTTTCGTATTTAAGTGGTACCATTAACTTACCCTATGGTATTTATTTTCTATTTTATTTTAGATCACTTACCATTTTTACACGTATCCATGCTTGTAAATTATAGTATTAATAGTATTTATTTTAGAATACTTATACCATTGTTACATGTTTCCATGNCAGTTTCCGTAACAATAATTCAATATGTTTCAGATATTGTTTTTGATAATAATTCAATAATTTGACTTATCTAAGTAATAATTCAACATATTAATGTATTTATTTTGGAATTTGTATTTTTTAATTTTATTTTCGTATTTAAGTGGTACCATTAACTTACCCTATGGTATTTATTTTCTATTTTATTTTAGATCACTTACCATTTTTACACGTATCCATGCTTGTAAATTATAGTATTAATAGTATTTATTTTAGAATACTTATACCATTGTTACATGTTTCCATGTTTACAGTATTAATAGTATTATTTATAATTTTTTAATTTTTGCATTTAAATGGTACCATTTGCTTAATGTACCATATTTATTTTTTAATTTATTTTATGAGTAATACTTACCATTTTTACATGTTACCATGCTTGTAAATTGTAGTATTAATTGATAGTATTATTTTTAGTTTTCTATTTTATTTTTTTTACTTAAATGGTATCATTTACTTATTGTACCGTATTTATTTTCTAATATATTTTAGAATACTTATCTTTTTAATAATTATTTTATTTTCTAATTTATTTAAAACACTTACCTAATTTATTTTAGAACACTTACCATTTATTTTATTTTGTGTTTAACTGATACCATTTGCTTATCGTGGTGACATACCATTCCGTATTTATTTTCTAATTTTCTAATTTGAACACTTACCTTTTTAAAAAAACATGTTTTTAAAGTATAGTATTAATATTAATTTTGCAGTTTTTTTTATTTCCGTATTTAAATCGTACTAATTACTTACCAAACCACATTATTTTCTAATTTATTTTAGAACACTTATCATTTTTAGATGTACTCTCTCTGTCCCTAAATAGATTACAATTTTTTTCTTTCCTCTCGATAACTTTTATTTGTTTACGCGATTTCATTAAGTATTTGATAAAATAAAATATTCTTATCACTTCTTGTTTTGTTGAACTTTTGACGTAGTTGTTTAATATGTAATTTTAATATCTTATTCATATATCAATTTGTAAATAAAATGATTTCAAAAAATAAGAAATTTTACTCCGTAACCCGCAATTTGTAATCAAATTGGGGACGGAGGGAGTATTTTATTCTCTTTTATTTTAGAACACTGACCTAATTTATTTTAGAAAACTTACCATTTATTTTATTTTCGTTTTTAAATGGTGCTAATTGCTTACCCTACCATATCTATTTATTTTCTAATTAGAACATTTGTCATTTTTAAAACGTTTCCATTCTTTTAAATTATAGTATTAATATTAATTTTTAGTTTTTTATTTTATTCTTTTATTTAAATGTTATCATCTACTTACCGTACCATATTTATTTTCTAATCTATTTTAGAAAACTTACCATTTTTACGCGTTTGTGCTTGTAAATTATAATATTTTTAATGATAAATAATTAATTTTTAGTTTGTTTGAAATAAATCATTTTAATCCTACCCATACTTTATTAATTTGTAATTTTTAAGTTTTATTTTAATATTTAAATGGCAGTGTATTTTATTTCCATACTTCAATTCCCCAATGGTTCATTACTATTTAATTTAAATGCTTAAATTGTGTAACATTTAAATAAAAATAAAAATGAAAACATACTTAAAATGGAAGGAAAACATTAAGGTAAAATAATTAAACTACCATTGATGTTGTCAACAACAATTTCCATATATGAGTGTCATGCATGGGCGGGAAAAAATTCATGTCTTTTTAAATAATGTATAGATATTAAAGCCGCAACCATTTTAAAAAATGGTGTTATTCAGTTAAGAAATCACCCTAAAGAGGACTAAAAAATAGAGAAAAGTATTAAAATAAGACTTTCATGTTTTTTTCCCGAAATAGGACTTTGCACTGTGGTAATGTGACTTTGCCCTGTTGTAATGTGGCAGTGTACATGTGCAAATTATTATACTTTTTGGTAATGTATATGACCATATATGTATAGTAATGTAAGTCTTATTTCGGGAATAAAAACATGGAAGTCCTATTTTGGTATATTTTCAATGTTTTAGTCCTACTTGGCTACTTTGGTCTTTCTCCCTATTCGGTTTAAAAAAATGTACCAATTCACTATTTAAAAATTACGAAATTTTTTATGTATTTGTATCTTTTCATTAATTATTTGACAAAATAAAATATTTTTATCACATTTTATCTTGTAAAATTTTTGACATAGTTTTTTAAATATGTAGGTTTTATTTTTTATTTCTCTATTAATTTTTAAATTAAGTAATTTGAAAAATTTAAAATTTCACTTCGTTTTGGGTAATGTGACATTTTTTTTTGGACAAAGAGAATGTTAGAACTTAGAATGGTCTAATCATAAAACACTACAAGCGTCCGAAAATCTCTTTCAAACATTGATTTGTATCTAGGCTAACATTAGTCTTTAAATTGTGTGACTTTAAATTGTGTGAGATTTTATTAGGCATAGAACTAAGAAGATACCACACCAAACAAATGAACAATATTCTCAAGAATAATAAGACCACGTGTTCTGGCTTAATTGGCAAAGACTTGACAGAGTGTAAAGAAATACTACCTCCGTCCCGCCATATTTGTAAACTTTTGACTTTTGAAACTGTTCATCTAAGCACTTTGACTTATCAAATTCTTTCAATATGTAAGCCTAAATATAGTCGTGTGTGATCTTGTTTGATTTGTCTTAACATATAGATTATTAATATATAATTTCTATAATTGTTTAATATACAAATTACAAGATAAAATGGATTAAAGAAGTGCATTGGATGGTGTGTAAAATGAAAGTGGACAAATAATCTGGGACGGAGGGAGTATAATGTAGAGTAACAAAAATATGTATGTTGTGACATTTAAAAGAAGTGTGACCAAAAAGTGTTGGGGTACAATGAAGATGTAGACTATTTCAATTAGTTGAAATTAGAAAGAAAAAAAAAGGGAGAGAGAAAGCCACAGTGGCATGTCCCTCATGCAAGAAGGGTCACACCCCTATTTGTTTCAGAGTTGATATAATCTCTAAAAAAATATTTTTTGAAAACTTCAAAAAACAAAAACACGAATATGTTAGTCGTTGTGCCCACGCCTTAGAGGGGGGTGAATAAGGCGTTTAAAAACTTTTCGGAGTTTGATAAAAATGGTGTTGGCAAATGCGGAAGCATTAAGTAAAACGCAGAAATAAAAGCATAAAGTAAAAGACACACTGATTTTATACCGGTTCGGGAAACCCCTACTCCAGTTCCTTAAGGCTCCTCCTTAAGTCCCGGTGTCTTGAACTCAGTCAAAGCACCACACTAGTTTTGGCAAACAACCCTTGTCAATAGGATTCACTCTGAGATTTTACAACGGCTATCTTCAACCATTTCCCCCAAGGATTTACAAGACTATCCTTGAGCCTTCTACCCAAGGATTTATACGGCTATCCTCGACCGTTACAACGTAAGAATTTAACAGCTATCCACGACCGTATAAAGATGTTTTGAAAACACAAATAAGGGTTCTACACAACAGCTTGAATATATAAAAATGAAGAAAAAAACTTAGCCGGTATAAAACGAAATTATACTCTCTCAAAAATACAATTTAAACTTATGAATATGAGAGTATGTATCTAAAATACAAGCTCAAAGTGTGTGTATAAAAATTAGAAATTTAAGGCTCTTAAAATAGCCAAAATATTGAAAATAATGAATAAAAGAATGAACACACTTATAATATAAAGAGAGGATGTTTGGAGCTTTGTTTCTTATTAAAATATGAAGGATTAAGCTTGTATGTATAGTGGAAAAAGTTATTTAGCCGTTGGATACAAATTTGGAAGGATTTTGACTAATTAAATGTGATTAGATTTGAAATTCAGAATTTGAATTTTTTTCTCCTAACGGTAACGGTAGGGGGTACCGTTGAAATGGTATAGGGTACCGTTACAATGGTGTTTAGGCTGTTTCTCTGCCGGTCGGTACTTGTTGTGTGGTCACTGTAAGGAGTACCACCATAGTGCAAAAGGAGATGATCTCTATTTGTACTCACTGGCGGATCCATTCCTTAGTTAGGGGGGGCAATTGCCCCTAGTCAAATTCTATTTGTAAGGTACTCCGTAATTATTTGCAATTTTTAAAGTAGTATGAAAGCTGCCCCCAATGAATTATTTAAATTTTACTATTGCCCCAGCTCAATTTCAGGCTCAGCCCACCATTTTAAAATTATGTCCAGCACATTACCCCATTTAAACCTAAATCAAAGTTGAAGTAAAAAAACACCCGTGCGTCTCATTACCTCACCAACCTAAATCAAAGTTGAGGTGAAATGTACTCTCCCTGTTCTCAAAAACACTTCTTCTTTCATTTTTTCATTTCCAACAAAACATTTCCAGTTTCTATTAAAAAATCACTTTTACCCTTACTTTTTCATACCCCACCTATCACATCATACTTTTTCTCTAATAATCTATCCATCAAATCTTACTTTTACCCATCACATCAAGGGTAAAATTGGAAGTGAACTACAATTTAAAACTTCATTATTTTTACACTTGGTCAAAATAGAAAGGAAAAATTATCCAAAATAATCACAACTTTATTCGGTCTTTCAAAAATAATCCCACATTTCAGTGTGATGCATAATAATCCGAGCTTTACTGAATTTTGCGAGTTTTGGGTCGCCGTTAAGTTTCTAACGGAGGGTTAACAGAAATGTCTGTTTTGGGCAACAAAATGAAAGTTGGGATTATTTTTGATGAATTTTCATTTTTTTTTTGAATTTTTCATTTAAATTTTTAAAATTACTTTCTACCTCCATCATCATTTCTCTTTCCTTTTTTAAAGATTAGTCTTAGTTTAAAAAAATAAAAATAATAGATATGAAAAAATAAAAAAATGAGAAATGTAACTAAAATGATACAAAAATAATAAAATAAATAAGGTAATCAATAGAAACTAACTTGAAATTGGTAATAAATAAAATAAAAATATACGGGTGGGTTTTTGTAACACCCCAATCCGTATAACCCGGAATTACACGAATTAAGGTGAAACAAGAGTTAAATAAAAATTTCGCTTGACATTTGAAAATGATAATTTCTTATAAATATTAAATTTACAGACTCTGGATCGTGACCCATTTAAAAATATTTTCAGAGTAATGCGGAAGTTCAATAATAATCAAATCATGACACATTTAATATCTGATGACCAAACATTTGTCTGCCATCCTTGCATCTCCGCTGACTCAATGCCATCCGGGAATGGTTCCGTCATTGTCTTCTTGTTACCTACGTGTAGTCAACGAAAAAATACAAACTACACGCTCAGCGAAACCGCTGAGTGGTACCACGCTAGAATTGTAGAATAATTCACAGACATATACATATACATATATATACATCCGCAAAGTGTATAACAATGTTCATGATATGGCACATTATGTCATATGATCAATTTGATGATTCATGATGATAAATATTTACTGATAATTAAATGATGGCACATTTATTCAATTTGCTAGTTCTTGGTGATGATTACATGACACATATGTAATCAATATAACTATACTTGATGATTTCATGCTGTATGATTCTAAGTCAACAAGGAACAACCTTGCAACTATGAGATTCGCCCATTTGGTACGACGAACTCATGTCCTTCTTAGTCTCACAAGGGAGACTAGAAAAAAATAGGGGTGGTACTCGAAAGTCTGAATACCATGTACGTACACTAAGCCCGGTCAGGGTTGTCGGACTACTAAGTCCCGCACAACCACACTATAAGAGACGCAATTACGCATGATCTCTTACGCATGCATATGATATGATATGCTACAATATGTGTGATGATGTGAGTCATATTATATGAACAATTTGTAAATAATATGAATGGATAAATATACTTTATTTTATTTGGGTGAAATCTGATAAAAATATCATTTAATTAAGCTACGGGGCTCGGAATGGTCGACCGTTTGGAGCGATTTTCATCAGGTCGGATTTGACGGATCACCGTGACGGTCGACCGTGGTTGACCGGCGGTCGACCGTTGTTGACTGGCTGCGGATGGAGGACTTCGGTTGGCTGGCGGCGGTCGACCGTTAGCCACCGGCGGTCGACCGTTTGGTTGACAGTCGTGGTCCGTTTCGATGTTTAACGTGACGGTCGACCGTTTGCGTCGACCGTTTGGGTCTGCGAATCTTTCTCTTGATATTTTGAGTGTCCAAAATACTTCTTTAAGTCTTTTAAACACCTTTGATTAACATATACATGTTGTTGGGTTGATTTCAAATGGTTAAATATACTTATGTGTGTGTGTGTATATATATATATATATATTAACTTTATGAATTTGGTGTATTTTGGTCTTAACACATAGATGACTTATATATGCATCACATATATATTTTGGAATGATTTCAACAAATGGATTAACATATATGTTCATGTACGAATGTGATGAATGATTCGACAAGTCTAACGCAAAGGTACAGAGCTGGAAATCATCGGCCGAAAGCTTACGGATGAGCGGGAGTGGAAACAACATCGGAAATCACCAACTTTGTCATTCCCGTATCGCAACCTTTACCACCAGGGAATCCCTATTCATGATCTTCATCCTCCCCATCGATGAACGGTACCCTTGAGCTAAATACATTAACCGCTGTCAGCCCTAAGGAGAAGAGAAGGCAGCCTGCAAAGAACGTAGGAAGAATCTTTCGTCCTCCTACCAAGTTGAGCAATTGCCTATACCTTCTGAGACTTTTCTCACAAGATACCTTAGAAAGGGGTAGGGAAGCCAAGTCTTTTTCTTCGTTCTGGAAGGATAACCCGGTATGTATCGGTGGTCTGACCCTTGCTGAGAAAGCAAAAGAGAAGAACCTGCTTAAGTCTTAGTCAAGGCATATCATCAAAGCGGAACGGAACTAGAAAGAAAAATCAATAAAGAGGCTTAGTCAAGTCAAGCCTACTGAATATCTAGTTAAGTAAACCTATGAGTTAAGTTGTTTATGAAATCAGGTCAGCGAGAGAGCTGCGAGATCGTCCCCACGATGGTGTTACAACAAGTCGTTAGTCAAAGCTGTCAATCAAGATCTGATCTCACAATTGGACAGCTTGCGGTATTTTGGGCATATCTCCATCGTTTCTTCATGAAATTGCAAACCGTTTGATTCTGTGGATTCCTAAGATATAAGGCTATAACTTTCGTATAGAAAGTATTTCGAATTAACAGGTGTAAAACAACGTAAATCGGACCTGAACTCAATGGAAAGTTGCTGTCCAGAATTTCGGCTATGTCGATGAACACGATTCCGACGATTAACTCACTAATTTCAATATTCCAACGCCAAACCCTCTCTACGATACCTTCCGGATGTTCCTAATAATTGTTAGAGAGTTTATGGTAGGTATTTGGAATGAAATAATATGAATTTGGTGAAGAAACACATGCCAACCCGAGGAGCTCGCCACCACTAGCGCAGTCCCGGTATTTTGGTCATATCTTCTTCGTTACTTAACGAAATCGCGAGCCGTTTGTTGGGCTGGATTTGTATCGTCCGGGGATACAACTTTGGTTCAGAAAGTATTTCGAGATAATGAATGGAAAATTTCAGTTTTTACCTCAAAGTGGACTGATGTGTTTTGGTTTCAGGATTTTGGACACTTGAATGGTTTCCTTGCTTCTTCTTCTTCTTCCTTAGCACAAAAATGGAGTATTGCTGCTATGTTTTCTCCTCCTTTGATTGCCGACAGAGAGAGAGAGAGTGTGGTGAGGAGGAGAAATGATAGATGGATGATGGTGGAAGATGATGATGATGGTGTGGTGAAGTTGTGTAGGAAATGGGTGAGATTTGGAGTATTATATTAGTGGAGAGTTAGTGGATTTCTTAGGATATATTGGGTGGCTAGTGGAGTGACTTACGTGATTGGGGAGGGATTTTAGAGTATTAGTTTTGGAGTTTTGTTCAAACTGAACAGATTACTCTAAACAGTACGCGCTTTTTCTCACCCAAACTGCTCTGAATTGAAAACGAATTGCATTTTTAGAATCAGACTGTCAAAACTAGAATTTTGACATAATCAAAATATTTTTCTGAGAACTTTTATTTTTCTCAGTGTTCAGGTCTTTCTCTGTCATAAATTAATTTAATAATATGAATGAGATAAAAATATATGAATTAAATCCAAATGATAAATATGGTGTTGTCAAGTGTCAAAATTATGATTTCTAATCTTATGAAATCACTTTTGAATTGAGTTTATTTTATGGGTCAAAGTTACAATTTTTAATATTTAAAATCGTCATAGTTTGAAATCTATAAATCAGGTTGGTTCATAAAATGTACCGTTGGATTCGTCTCTTCGAGACATATCCATAAAAATTAAGTTTTTAACAAAAAGTCATTATTTTGAAATCCCTTTATTTTTTTGGTCAAACGTCTAAATATTCTTCATTGGTCAAAGTGATATTCAAATTTACTTTTGTTTTATAATAAATTTTAGGCCATATTTTGTGGCGTTACAGTTTTAATATTTTACACACTATAAAAAGTATTAACGTATCACTTCTTATTTTTTAGAAAAAATTATCTACAATAATTCCAACTTTACCGGATGGCTTGTTCTTTTAAAAAATAAGTAGTACATTAAGACTCCGTATAGTATGTAAAATGTTAAAACCCACCAGTCTGTATATATTTATTTTATGTCTTACCAGTTTCTGTTTAATTTCTATTGATTACATTATTTATTTTATTAATTTTGTATGGTTTTAGTTATTTTTCTCATTTTCATTGTTTTTTTATATCTATTTTATTATTTTTCTAAGGTAAGAATAATCTTTAAAAAAGAAAAAGAAATGGAGGTTGCCCAAAAAATTAAATAAAAATTTCAAAAAAAAAATTTAAAAAACAAAAATTCATCCAAAATAATCCCAACTTTTATTTTTTTGCCTAAAACAGGCATTTCTGTTAACCCTCAGTTAGAAACTTAATTAACGGCGACTTAAAACTCGCAAATTCCAATAAAGTTGGGATTATTATGCATCACACTGAAAGGTGGGATTATATTTGAAAGACCAGGTAAAGTTGGGATTATTTTGGGTAATTTTTCCAAATAGAAACTCTTTTTGAGAATGGAGGAGTATGTTTCAGTTAATTACAGATTTTACTTTTATTTAATTTTAAATTATTCCTATTATATTTTTTTTATTTGTGCTGACCAATTGTTCTCCCAGTGAAAAAATTTCCTGGATCCGCCACTATTTGTTATACGGTCGGTACCTACATGTGGGTTACGGTAGGGGGTACCTTCTCAGCTTGACTCACGTACAGTACCCCTTACAGTAGGGGGATCCCGACCTGACGGTAGGGGGTACCTTCTCAGATTGGCTCACGGTACCTTCTCAGTTTAGTGTTTCGACTTCCTTCTTGAGAACCGAATCTTAATCGATTCTTGTTGTACCTGAAACACTTAAAAAAAATTCTTATATTGTTTGTTAACATCAAAACATGAGTCTTAGCAAACCAAGGCTAACAGAATAGAAAAGGGAAATAGTAAAAGAAATAATAAAAAATGAAAAAGATAAAAAATACTCATATAGAAAAGAGAAAATATAATTATTGAGTGAGGTAATATGTTTTTTATTTTATCCCAAGAGATTTAAAAAAAATAAAGGTCTAGCTTAGACGTCACGAAAAAAACTTTATCATCGCACTTCATAATAGGTACATTTTATTTTCTATGAGAGTATTTTTTTCATTTAATTTTTTCTATTAATTTTCAAATTTACTAGTATTTTAACTTGTGCCATGCACCAGGTCGAACAAAATTTTTGTCAGTCCTGAATTTTTTCAATGCAATATATTTTTCGGAATCAAGTAAATATATTTCTAACACGATTTTTTATGAATAGAACAAAAACGGTAAAGTAGAATATATAACATTTGAGAAATTAAAGGTGTACTCAAGAAAGTCGTTTTAATTTCATTTTTTCTAAAAGGCTCCAAGGTACACAACATTTTTTGTATGGTTATAAGGGTTTCATTATCATCTAGAACCAATATTTTTAATCATGTCTTTACATTCACTCGTGAAACAATAACGTAAAGTTGACCATGAGTAAATACCAAATTGGTTAGAAATAATACCCCGGAGTATAACAAAAGACAACGTTTGACATTGACTTTTGTTAATAGTCATAGCATAACATATGACTATTGAGAATTATCTTCTCTAGAACTTCAGAGGTAGTCCTGAATCAGATGACACCAAATTCATTCGGGTATGTAAACATTTTTCCCAACTCGATTTCCCGAATCCACAATTGCATTGATAATGTTCTTTTGCAATTTTTCAACAATTAATCTTATATCATTACACAATCTAGATGTTTGGTCAATATTTTTCAATAACATAATTGGTACCTCCTTTTAAAACTATTTTGTGGTTTTGGATCCATAAATATTTGATATTATTAAAAAGACTAATTGTTATCCAATCGTCTTCAACACCTACATTTGAATATGCTTGGCATGAAGAATTTGCACTTAAATACTCTTTATCGTTTCCTAGAACAAGGAATTGGACAACTTCATTTATCATTCAACAACCTCGAGCGTGCGTGCCAATAGTGCACGACTATTCTAAAAAAAGATTAATTTTTCATGTTCTCTAGCCTAATAGATTTGGATAAGTGAAGTTCACTATACTCTTGAAGGGGTATTACTTGTGTCAAGAAACAAGAATTCAGACGGGATTTCAACATCAACAATTTCATCAATCACTTGTCCAAGTTTTTCATCTTCAACTTCGATTATCCAATCAAAAAAGCTTGTGTGTCCTATTTGTGCAAGAGGGTGGAGATGAATGCAATTTCATATTTTTGGTCAATGTATAACTTTACAATACAATCATATTTTTGAATAATTAGTGGTAGCACGTACAATTTCCTCTTTCAAAGCTTTAAATAAAACTGAAATAATATGGATAAAATCACCTCCCAATACAATTGTTTTCCTTCCGAATAGTTCATTTACGGAGTTATTATTAGTGAACCTCAGTGCATCTCTCATTGTGCAATCCAATGCCTCAAAAGGAAATTTACTCACCGTAGATGATCCATCCCATATGATTATACCTGCTTGTTGGATATTTAAAAAAATATTGTAATATATAAAATATAACTCAAATGTATTATTTACTATAAATGCTTCATAAATAAACTGAGGTGCAACGTAACCACAAAAACTTTTTAAAATTTAACATTTTGATATTTATTCTAACTTTATATTATAATTTTTTTTCGCAAAAGTAGTTTTATATATTTGAAAAATAACAATACTTTTTTTATCTTAAAGACATTCATTAAGATAACGTGATGATGATGATGACGATGATGATAATAATAATAATAATAATAATAATAATAATAATATAATAGTAATAATAATAATAGTAATAATAATAATAATATCAATAATAATAATAATAATTTATAACAACAAGAATTAGAATCAGAATGATATAAAAATACACTAAAATAATTTTTTTTAAAATATTTTTAGATTTTTCAATTTTTGAAGTTTTTCCAGTTTCTTCCAGTTTCCTCTAGTTCTTTCAGTTTTTTTCAGTTTCTTCTAACATCTGGCTCTTTTTTCCAGTCCTAAAGAACATGCTCTATCTATTCTGAGTACAACGTAGTACTCCTAATTGTTTCAGAGTCGATATAATCTGTAAAAAACATTTTTTTGAAAACTTCAAAAAACAAAAACACGAATAGAAAAAGGAAATAGTAAAAGAAATAATAAAAAATGAAAAAGATACAAAATACTCATATAGAAAAGAGAATATATAATTATTGAGTGTTGTAATATGGTTTTTATTTTATCCCATTTAGTGCAAATTTCACTTAAAAAAATAAAGGTCTTGCTTAGACGTCACGAATTGATGCTGGACATTTAGTTGAATAATGACTAATAAATAATGACCAAATGTCCTACATTGAGAAATAAAAACATATGGTCCTATATTGAGAAATTCATTATGTTTTAGTCCGATTTAGGTTTATTACTCAAATAATAATCTACTCTAGCTCTCTCTCTCTCTCTCTCTCTCTCTCTCTCTATATATATATATATATATATATATATATATATATATATATGTCCTAATTTCTTTTGTCAAACTTCTATTCACTTTGCATTATACTCCCTGCGTTCCATAAAACCTTTCTCCTTTCGTTTTTTCTAATTCCCTAAAACACTTTCACTTTCTATTAAAAAATCATTTTTATCCCTACCTTTTCATACCTTGCCTATCACATCATACTTTTTCACTAATAACCAAATTATCATATCTTACTTTTACACATCACATCAGGGACAAAATTGGAAAGTCAACCAAAATTATACTTTCCTTATTTTTGTCCAAAGTCAAAATGGGAAGGATTTAAAGGAACTGGAGAAGTACAAAATAGCTAAATATTATACGGAGTACTTTTATCATTGTCATCTTTTTTAAGGGAAAAAATGGAAATATATTAACGGAAAAAAGTGGGACTATAACTTACGAAAAAATGAGAATATATTTCTCCATTTTAGTACGGGTCCGTATTATATTTAAGGATGGTCACATTGTCACCATACTCTCATAGTTATCAAACTCTTATCTAAAAAATAAAAGAGAAATTTACTTAAATAGGACTAAAACATAATAACTTTTCCAATATAGGACCATATATTTTTATTTCCCAATATAGGACCTTTGGTCATTATCAAGTAGTCATTATTCAACTAAATATCCATCATTACTGGACATTATTCCTTCTACTAAGTCATTATTAAGTCCTATTTAGGGAATAAAAAAATTTAAGTCCTACATTAGGAAAGATATTATGTTTTAGTCTTATTTAGTGCAAATTTCACAAAATAAAAATACTACTCTGCACGTTGTACTTAAATTTATTTGAATTAGATCAAAACAACAACACATTTACATTACACAACAAAAATCTAAATGAAAACCAAAGCAAGAAAAAGAAAAACTAAATTGGGCTACACTAACTTGGGATTTACGTTTTCTAGCCTTCTAGGATTAGGAATACTACCCTTACCTTACACTCCGCCTATATATTGTACTACCTCCGTCCCGTGAAACATTTCCCCTTTTTTTTTTTATCCGTCTCACAAAACACTTCTCATTTCTATTAAAAAGTGACTTTTATCCCTTACTTTTTCATATCCTAACTATCACATCATACCTTTTTACTAATAATCTATCCATCAAATCATACTTTTACCCATCACATCAAAGGACATTTTTGGAAATTCAATACCAAAATACACTCCCTTAAATCCCTCCTAAAAAGCAAATGTCCCATGTTTCACGGGGAGGTAGTATGTGTCTGTAAAATGTATAAACCTAATTATTCTTCGCCTTAATATTCCACAAATACATCATTTACTATCACTCGGCGACCGCACTTTCACTCTACCCTTTGACCCTCTCCGCGTTCTGTCCTCGCCGGAAAACGCCTTCGCCTGTTTCTCCGCCGCGCTCGCCGGCGTCGTCGACCGGGTAGACGCGGCGGCGTTCGCCGCCCAGATGGTCCGGTTCGCCCTCGAGAACGTCACCGTCAGAGAGGTTGCGTCCGGTTCGGGATATCCCTGTCGGCGGTCTTGGAGACGGTCTACGTCATGGAGCCGGAGGCGCGGCCGACGGCGCCGCTTCCGCCGCCGGCGACTCGGGCGGCCGTGGATGCGCTGGATGAGTGGCTCATGGACCACAAGTTTCGGGCGTTTGAGAGCAGCTGGGGACCCGCCGCCGTCGGGCCTGGGTTGTCGGAAGATGAGGTCGCCGCGCTGGAGAAACAGAGGTTCGCCGGAGAGGCGGAGGAGGAGGCGCCGTCGTGTGCGGTGTGCCTGGAGGAGTACACGGAGGGTGACGTCATCACTCCCCTGTCGTCTTCCTGTTCGCATAAGTTCCACAACGGGTGCATCGCGAAGTGGTTGAGGAGGAAGAGGACTTGTCCCGTCTGCCGTGCTCCGGTCACCGGTGGCCGTCAAAGCTGAATAATTAATCAAGAGGATTAGCTAAATAAACCCTATTGTTAGATGATGATCGATAATCTTTACAAAATTTCAGCTCTAAATATTTATTGTGAAACATGCATGGTTAGTTTAGGTTTTTCCACTCGTATTGTTTGGCTTGAGGGTCTTTTAGATAACTGCTGGAATGTTTTTGTCTAAATTTTTACACTCCGTAGACCGTAGCTAGTCGTGTTAAATGTGTAGTTTATGTTGGTGTCTTTTTTGCCCTAGTTTGTATCTTGTTTGCTTAATGTGTTTTGGATCTCGTTGTAATGCCAATATGTGTGTGCTTCTTGTGTCCAACTATACGTGCTCTTACTTCGTTTGTACTACTGTGCCGCATTTAACTATTTTTCTAGTTTTAATTTTATACTAATTCAAAAAAGAGTTGTAAAAACTGAAAAATGTGAAAAACAAATTGAAATGGTGTTTTAAAGAATACAAAACTACAAGTAATAAATTGGAAGTTAATTCTTTAACTTTTTTTTTTATAACAATGAGAGAATTTCACAAACAAGTGTAAATGTCCATTGGAGTTCAAGTAAATGTATACTTCCACTAGACATTATTCTCGTCACTAGACATTGTTCAAATACTATTTAGAGAATAAATGATTTTAGGTACTACATTTAAAAAATACATACTACCTCCGTCCCAAAAAGATGTACACGTTTTGACTAAAGTTGAAATTAAGGGAGGGATAATTTTGTGTTGACTTTCCAAAAATACCCTTGATGTGATGGGTAAAAGTAGGATGTGATGTGTGGATTATTAGGAAAAATGTATGATCTGATAGGTAGGGTTTGAAAAAGTAAGGGGTAAAAGTGATTTTTTAATAGAAATGGATAAGAGATTGTGGGACGCAATTTTTTCGAAAGGTGTAAATCTTTTTCAAAATGGATAAGAGATTGTGCGTATCTTTCTTAGTTGTTAGTGAAAAAGTATGATGTGATAGGTAGGGTATGAAAAAATAGGGAAAGAAGTGGTTTTTTAATAGAAAAGGGAAGTGTTTTAAAAAAAACAAAAAAAATGAAAGAGGAAGGATTTTAAGAAACAAAGGGAGTATATATACTCCGCCTATATATTGTATTTGTTGTAAAATGTAAAAACCTAATTCTTCTTCGCCATAATATCCCACAAACAAATCATTTACTATCACTCCGTACGTACTTAACAAAACAATGTCACTTAACAATATCATGGCGGCTGCTCCAAGAACTAGCGGGTACGTGGATGGGTGGGTCAATGAAGATCCCGGCCGCCATGGTCAACTCTCCATTCGACTCATAACTTTCAAAGAGGTATGAGATTTATGTTTATAAAATATAAAATCTAATACAGAAAGTAGAATCATAAATCTTAATTTATAACCGTAGAGAGGTATATATGGGAAGTCATAAAATACAAAATTATCATGAATAAGAGAAAAAAGTTATGAGAAGAAGCATACCTATTGCCAAGTATGGCTATGGTGAATGAGAACTCCAAATTGCGCACAATAAAATCGAAGATGATGACGAATTGAAATTGGCACAATAAACTCGTAGATGAGGGAGAATTGAAAAATGATTAATTTTTTTCTAAAAGCCAAGTTCAAAACCAACTCTCCTGGGTTTTTCGATTTTTGAAATTTTGGATCAAAAAGCCAAGTGAAAAAACCATTAGTCAAACAATGGTTTTGGCGGTTCGATAAATCAAACAAGCAAAAGTAAGTCAAAGATGCAAAAACCTATCCGAAAAGTTGTTTTCCAAACACAACCTATATCTTTCTTCTTATATTTAAGAATAGAAAAGTTTATTTTTCTATAACTAAAAACTATGCAACAATATAATACTGCGTAGAACTTGTCTTTCGTCTTAGCTAAAATCTTCTTTATAGTAATAATTAGTAATAACCCTGTGCTTCGCACGGGCTCGCATATTTTTAATATTTGTCATCTAAAAAATAAAATACTATTTATTTTAAATTATCTAATGATATATGATGTGTTTGATAAATATATTTTTTAACTATAAAATATCTCTTTTGAGAAAAAGTTTAGTTCTATTATTGATGTACATGTACTAAAATTTATATAAACCTTTATTTTGAGATGTAATAAAAGAAAAAATGATGATTATCTTATTAAAAACAACATCAGGATTTATTCTTTAAAACATTAATGAATTTTGTAATTTTTTTAGATATATAACGAATTATGTATGAAACATATTTTAAAAAATATACTCCGTACTATTTAAAAATGGTGTAACATATAATCTCCAAATGAATACAATCATTGAATAAAATATATTAACATTTTTAATCTATATACTCCCTTCATCTCAAAAAGATTATCATAGTTAGATTTGTTTGGTAAAACTATGTAATACTTTGATTACAAATTAAATTTAGTTTTAAATAACTAAATGTTATAAGAAATATATATATATATATATATATAATTAAATTTAGTTTTAAATAACTAAATGTTATAATATATATATATGTGTGTGTGTGTGTGTGTGTGTGTGTGAACACAATATTTTAAATGGATACATTTTTTAAAATTTTACATTATAATTGAATATAATATACTTTTTGTTCACTTTGTGGTCAAAGTATAGAGAAACTTGACCAATAACATCAAATTGTTATCAAATGAAATAATAGTGAAAATTGATTTAATTATTGAAAAAATAAAATAAAAATGCCAAATCAACCAATTAAGTAATGATAACCCATTGAAAGATACATAAATGGTATATGGCTTATATGCCATGTGTTATCCTACAACAAAAATAAATTTAGTTTATTTAATTGAATTTTTTGAAATATTATATGAAAAATTAAATAATGTTGCAAAAAAAACATTTTGAAGTAAAATATATTGTTAATAAAAATACAATTAATAAAACATAGTTATTTGTTAGAAATAACAAAATAAACTAAATGGTGGATTCCTTTCAAAATTATATAAAATGTTAGTTTTTTAATTAATAAAGTTATACTCCGTAATCAATATTTTTCTTTGAATGATCATACATTAATGCATATTTAAAAATATTTTATAATGACGAAATATATATTTTCTAATAGTTAAAAGGTGAAGAATTTTATAGAAAATAATAACCACAATAATTATTTAAAAAAGTAAATGACTTTATAAACACTTAATAAATATAATGGTGATTTAATGTTACAAACTGAAGGCTTTTAATGTATCAATAAAATTAATACTTATTTAATGTAAAAGTAAGTATGCACACCTCGCAAGACATGTGACATGGTGTCACATGTCATCCTTCATTTAAACAAAGTTTTCTTTCCTTAGTTTGTTGAAAAATATATAATAAAATAATTATTATTTGAAATTAGTTTTGTATTAAATAAAAATGCCTATATCATAAAATTTATATAATTGTACTAGTTTTATTGAGAAAAATTAAATTAAATCAAACTGTGAATAGTTTTAAAAATCATACACAATGTTGCTTTATAGTTAATGAAGTGTATATATTCTTGTGTTAGAATAACTGTACATTTTGAAAAAAACATGTTATAATAATTACAATTATATTTTCTAAAAATTTCGAAAGTGAAGTGTCCATAAATAGCTAATAACAATATTGACTATTTAGTGTTAGAAAGTGAAGGGTTATAAAATTTTAATAAAAATTAGGGTTTTTAATAAAAATTTTAATATATTAAGCAAAGGCATCAGTTTTTCCTGATAAACCGATGCTAATACCCTTTTTTGAATATTTTTTTAAAATTAATATATCAAAGGCACCGGTTGTTTCGGTCAAACTTATGCAAATATACTTTTTTAAAATCTTCTTTAAAAAGTTATACACCAAAGGCATTGGTTATTTCTACAGATGCGATGCGAATACCATTTTCTGACTTTTAATATATATATATATATATATATATATATATATATATATATATATATATATATATATATAGCAAAGGCATCGGTTATAGCTAAACAACCAATGCTATTACTCTTTTTTTTAATTAATAAAATAGCAAAGGCATCGGTTGTTTAGAAACAACCGATGGTAATAATTTTTTTTTTAAATTAATAAAATAGCAAAGACCATCGGTTTTTTCCAAAGCGATGCATTTGAATTGGACCAATTGCATTGGTACAAAACTAATGCTAAAGGTACAAAACGACCGATGTCTTTGCCTTGATATGTACTAGTGAATTATCTTCTTACTCCCCTAAAAATGCATGAATAGTCAACATCTCGAGAAAATACATTTGAAAACAACTTCAATTTAAATTAGATCAAGTAACTTATATAGAGTGAGTATATAACACATCTTTCAATTTTCACATCTTAATTGACATATACCCAAAAATGTAAAATATTTTTTACTTTTTACTAAACACTTACAATTCTTTAAATTTTGTAAAATTAAATTATAAACCAAATTTTAGGGTGCATGAATTAAAATTTTATATTCAATATATATTGGACTCATATAACAGTTACTCTTTACAAATAGTAATCCATTCAATTATTATTATTTACACAATTCAACTTTAACAACCTTCTTTTTGTTTTTGTCTTTCTCACAATTTTATTTTTTAATCCACACCAGTAAAAAACAGAAATCAGTAACTGACAATTCAAATTATAACTTGGGCTTTACGTTTCCTGGTAGGATTGGGATTTGGAAATTCTTTCCCTTATATATATATATATATATATATATATATATATATATATATATATATATATATATATATATATATATATATATATATATATATATATATATATATATACTCCGTATGCGAGTGTAAAATGTAAAAACAGATGGAATTCTTCTTTCGTGCTTAATCTTCCACAAATACACCATTAACTATCACTCTGTGCGTGCTTAACTTAATAATGTCGGCGGCTGCTCCACTAACTGGCGGGTACTTGGATGGGTTGGTCTACCAAGATCCCCGCCATGGTCAACTCTCCATTCGGCTCATAACCAAAGCTCTCGCTATCACCGGAGGATTTTTCCAGACACTCGGCGACCGCACTTTCACTCGCCCCTTCGACCCTCTCCGCGTTCTGTCCTCGCCGGAAAACGCCTTCGCCTATTTCTACGCCGCGCTCGCCGGCGTCGTCGACCCCTTAGACGCCCCGGCGTTCGCCGCCCATATGGTCCGGTTCGCCCTCGAGAACGTCACGGTCCGGGGCTGTGTCCGGTTCGGGATATCCCTGTCGGCGGTCATGGAGCCGGAGGCGGGGCCGAGGCCGCCGGCGACTCGGGCGGCCGTGGATGACTGGATCGCGGACTACATGTTTCGGACGTTTGATAGCAGCTGGGGACCCGCCGCCGTCGGGCCTGGGTTGTCGGAAGATGAGGTCGCCGCGCTGGAGAAACAGAGGTTCGCCGCCGGGTCGGAGGAGGAGGCGCCGTCGTGTGCGGTGTGCCTGGAGGAGTACATTGCGGGTGACGTCATCACTCCCCTGTCGTCTTCCTGTTCGCATAAGTTCCACAACGAGTGCATCGCGAAGTGGTTGAGGAGAAAGAGGACTTGTACCGTCTGCCGTGCTCCGGTCACCGGCGGCCGTCAAAGCTGAATAATTAATCAAGGGGATTAGCTAAACCCTATTGTTAGATGATAATCTTTGCAAAATTACAGCTCTAAATATTTTAACGTTATTGTGAAACATGGTTAGTTTAGGTTTTTTCCACTCGTACGTTACATGTTATGGTTAAATTTTTTTTTTTACATTTCTATAAACTAGAATGATATGATACGAAGTAATTTGCAGTTTTTAATACTCAGTATTTGGGTGTGATCATGGAAATAAATGGAGAGAGAATTTTCTTTTCAATGTTTGTGTAATAAAGTAATAAAAATACAACAATTTCCTAGTAATTTTAATCTTTACTATGAAAGAGTTTTTTTTACAAGTATAAACTACGTTACTCGTACTTTTATATATTACTCGTAAAAATTATCTTTTTTCTCAATAAATTCTCAACTCATACAACAGAAGATCCTACAACAGAGTCTCAAGAGTATAGTACATAAATAACAAGATACTCAACAAATTCAGATAGAATAGAGTTCGGAGAGGATGTGTGTGTGCGAATCTTACGACAGTAGTGTATAAATTAAAGAGGCTATTCACGTGAGACCCTCGACAAATCATACAACTTCCTAGTAATTTTAATTTGGAAAGAAAATAGTTTTTTTTTGTCATGAACAAATAAAAGTCTCAAATGAATTCATATTTCAAGTATAAAGATCACATTAGAACACACCATCCTTTAATGCTTCAAAAAAACTCAATAAACCATCCCCTCCCTAAGAAGCCTAACAAAGAACATATGCCTTCTCAATGAACCACCCCTGAAAGAGCCTCACTCAGTTCCTCAAGTGATGAAGGGAAAAGCTCAATATAGCGGCTGCCGAGCTTCATCCTATCCTTTGCCAACGCCGCCTTCGCGTCCTCGGGCCCACGAAACTCCACGAACCCTTCGCCTGTCGGCCTCCCTTCGGCGTTTACCCTGAAGTGGATCGACTCGTCTGACAAGACGAAGTCTTCAAAGAACTTCTTGATGTCTTCTTTGATGACTGAATATGGTAGGCCCCGCATTCGCAGCACGGATGTGTTCTCTGTCACTGCTGCATCCTGGCCCTCAGATTGTTTGTTATCCAGTAATCTGGTTTTCCAAAAAACAAAACAAAAAATGTCAAATTTTTGCATTCCTGAGAAGATTTTCAATGGAAGGATATCAATCATCATGCATGAAATTTTCAGCTATTTGTTGGAAAAAGGAGCAACAAAATGCACGGTCTCCTGACATAACAAGTTCAACAACAAAAACACGAACAAACTCAATATAATTCCAACTCTATTGGAGTCTGGGAGTCAAGATGGACACAATTTTACACCTCTAAAAGCAGTGAGGTCCTTTCTGTTAGGAGGTCGATTCTTTTGACCCAACTTTGCGGTTCACTAGAGCATTGTAATTTGTATGTCCCTCAAATGGACCAGTGTCATATGGGTTAGGTGTCAAAAGAGCCCCAGTGTTCCATTAGACCCTCGAGACATTAATTCATTTACTGCCCGAAACTTCATAGAAAGTTAAGGAAAAGGAAGTTTAATGTTTTATTCTTTTAACCCATTATTTACCCAAAGTAAAAACATTGTCAAACCAACTTTTTAAGCTCTATTAGCAATGGCGATAACAAAGTACCATATATGCATCATGGTAAAAAGATGTCACTCCATTTCCATCACCTTAATACCTAGACTTTATGCCGCTAGTCACAAAATCACGGTGAAAAAAGAAAGAGAAAAGGCTTTAGATAAAATCTGCAGTTGTAGCTTAAGGTATTGTTTGGCTTGAGGATCTTTTTTCATGTGATTGTATATGTTTTTTCATCTTCAGTATCTCATGATTATCAATCATCTAAGCATAAGAACAATTGGAGGGAAAAAACACTACTAAGTACAAAACTAATCAAAATATATAAGGTAGAAAATAACATTTTTTCAATGATTCAAAAAAAGTAGAAAATTAATAAGGTAGTTTCACTCTGCTTCAAGGACTACTGAAGGTTTATTCATTTACTTTCAGTTCAGAATGTCAATTGCCAAAATAGAAAATTAGACCTAGTGCTTTGGGAATATATAAAGTCTGAAATACTTTTTCAAGTGTGCGTGAAAAGGGGTAGAGGTAGACCTATAAGAGTTGGTAGTAAGTGATTACACATTGGAGATCTAATATTAAATAGTTTGGATTTTAGGTTAAATGTGTAGTTTATGTTGGTGCCTTAGTTTGTATCTTGTTTGCTTAATGTGTTTTGGATCTAGTTGTAATGCCAATATGTGTGCTTCTTGTGTCCAACTATATGTGCTCTTACTTCGTTCGTACTACTGTGTTAACGTTGTCTGTGTTCCTGTGTATGAGTTGAGTGTATCTTGGAAACACCCTCATCACACCCTACTCTTTGTGGGATTTTAATGGGTGGTTTGTTGTCGTTGTGGTTGTTGTAGTCTCATGGTCTTCCACATAGATAATTAGACAATTTTGTGGATCTCTAATTTTAATAGCAGACTTTTAACTTTCAACATCTTTAAAGAAATATGCAAGCAAATTCTTTATAAGAAACTTTGTTCCCACATGTGACACAAAGGAATTTTACTACACAAACTTCTCAGCACATGGACACGTAAAATATCCATATCGGAATTGCCAAATCTCATTGTAAGAGTAAATGTCATAGGCTCCTAAAATGACACTCACAAATTGTTATTTAACTCTAGTGACTAGAGTCAAGAAAATTGAAGTGTGAACTGAAGTTCTTGATTTGTGTTTCACGCATAAAGTAAATATCCCAAGTAAGGGTTAGGTCTGCGAACGCTCAACCTCCCTAAGTTCTTGATTCGTTCTACTGGGTATGTTTGCTGTACAAAGAAGTAAATATCATGTTCTGGAATGACTTGTTTTCATTAACTTCAGGTTTATACCCAAAGAGAGGAATAAATAAAGGAACCGCGGTTTTAGGTTTTATATTTTTTGAGAAATTTCAATGAAAAAAATAGTGTACGTGATAGCCTCTCTACATCTTAGTAAGTGTAAGGTTTGCGTACACGCCTCCTAGGATTCTACTTTTGGTGCAATTTTACTGTGTACGTCGTTGTAAAGGTTGTATGTGATTAGATAAAATGTTGCTCAAATGTGGGTAAAAAAGATGTACTATAATTCAACTAGTAAGCATACAATTCAATGAATATTTAAAAGATTATAGGAACTTAAGCATATGAGACTAGAAAAAGAAATATTACCCGCCCCTTGAAACCGCATCCTCTAACTCCTCAAGAGAAGAAGCAAACAGCTCAATATACCGACTCCCAATTTTCATCCTATCCTTAGCCATTGCAGCTTCGGAATCATGCGCATTCAAAAACTCAACAAATGCTTCCCCGGTTGCCCTCCCTTCTGAATTGGCAGTCAAATGAATCGAGTTTTCTGAAAGTGAGAAATCCTTAAAGAAATCTTTAATATCTGCCTTAGTAGCCGAGAATGGAAGACCCCTCAACCTTAACACGCCCGTATGTTCCTCTAAGTCTTTCCCCTCCTCAGAAGACTTTTCCCTCGGGGACGACTTTGCCCTCGGGCGAACTGAACCACCACCACCTCCTCCGCCCCCGCTGCCTCCACGGGAATCAGAAACTTCATTTGATATAGCCCTGTAATATTCCATCTTCCCACTTCTGAAAACCTCAACATACCTTTTCCCAATGTTGTGTCTGTTCCTCTGGAGAGCGTAATCAACTTGGAGAGGGTATCCCAGAACGCAATAAGCTTCTCCAGTAAACTTGCCTTTCTTGTGAACAAGAAGGACGTCAACCACATCCAATCCCTGCATGAAATCTGCAATCTCAACTTCAGAGCAGTCAAATGGGAGGCCACGGAGGCGAACAACGGGGAGAGATGGAGGATGCTGGCCAACATAAGGAGAGTCATGAGGTGGGAGTGGAGGAGGATTGTACATGTAACTCGATCCAGGCGGCACCGAATAATAAGAAGATCCCTGGTCCATAATCCGTTGCCTTTTGGGCCCCATTTCTCTGGGATCGCCACTATCGAAATACCTTCTGTGTCAGAGTCATAAAATCAAACACTTAGTGTGCATACAATAGTGCGGTCAACCTCAAACAACACAGAACTTGTGGATTAGTTCGATTCAAATTGACATTACAAGAAAAGGAAAAGACACCATCGGTTTCTAGTATGGAGTCCCAAGAACAGGTAAAGAAAAACAATTCCATTAACACTCCAAGAAATGTTGCATCTCGGTCATAGTTGTCGGATACCCAGAAATTACTTAAAACTCTTCAAACTAATAAACACAGAATCGATTAAGGAGGCATAAAGCACTGGAATTGGAACATTTCTTTTTCAAGAAAAAGAAGAAAAATCAAATCTTGAAAGAGCAATTGATGAGGAGATCGGGTATTATGTCTTACCCTCTGTTAAACATTACCCAGTCGTGAGCTTCCCGATCGATAATCGATGGATTTTTCGACTATGTTGTCTGTTTGGTCTTCGCTCTTGCTTGCCCAGGACCTTCGAAACCTCGGCGGCAGGATTGCAATGGCGGCCCCTTTGTGTCCGGGTGGTCGTTAAACCAGAACCGGACCGACGGAGTTGGACATTGTTTCAGACCGGAGATTTGGAACCAATAAGGGTGTGTTTGGCAACCCGACATCATTTGAGTGTTGTTAGGGTACGGTAAGTTACATCCATCCTTTACTATAATATTTGAGACTCGTCGGACAGAATTTCGACATGTGGCGAGTCTACTTGGCATATTTTTAACAAGTCATCTACCACGTATTTAATCTTGAGATTTTTTCCAAAACATGCATTTGTGGGGGTTTGAACCCAAAACCTCCTAAACATTTGGTTGAGTTTCTAGCCATCCAAGCAAGGGTGATTTTTATTACAAGTTCACATAACCCTTTATGATATTTCATAATTAAAAAAATTGTATAAAAATTCCTTTTCAATTTAAAAAATAAAATTTTATATATAAAATTTGAGAGTTGGCTTTCTAGAATTGTGACATGTGGCACGTTTATTAAACAATTTTTTTAACAAGTCAAAATGCCATGTTATCAAGTTATATTTAAAGAATTAGTTAACAAAAAAACTTATTCAATGGAAATTAAATTTTGTATTTGTTACACTCAAATTTATCAGCATAATCGCATTTAAAAACTTTTATATCTTAATTCATTATTGGAAAATATTTAAATTAAATAATATATTTTGAAATTGAAAAAATAGCTCATATTCAAAAACAATTATCAAAATAAATAAATTTATTCTAAGAACTGATAGATTGGTAGGACTAAAAGAAATTACATGTGAATATTTTTTTACTTTGAATTAATACTAATTAGAGAGATATTCCAACTTTGAAAAAAGAGAAACAAATATATAAAAGAAAAAGGATTTTTATGGGCATGTTTATTTTATAGAGCAATAATTTTATATCATATATATTAAAAAAATTCTAAGTCAAATAACAAGTATGTTCCATTTTAAAATTAGTATTTTCCATTTTTTAAATTATTATTTTCTATTACTAAGTTTGTAAAAATTTATAGATATGTTCCAAAAAATTATGATTTTCATTAATAAATTTTAAAATGATGACGACTTAGTATGTAAGTATTTATGTGTAAGAAATTAATTATTAACTGGTGTTCCTAATCGAAATATTTATGGTATAATATTAACTATTATAAGTGTAATTAGTATTAATTAAAATTCTTGAAACTAAAAAGGCATGCATATTTTGACATTATTTCAAAATAAAATAAATAAGTAATATTCAGGGCTGTCTCTGATAAATGAGGGACCCTGTACGACAGGTAGAAAATGGGCCATTGTGTTATAATAAAATAAAGTCTATTCATTAATTTATTTAACAATAATTAACATTATATTAATAAGAATAATATCTAGACCCTACTGTAGTAAGATTCAATTGGGTTGTTGTTGTATACTAATAAAAATAATGAAATATCGAATTCATATTCTTCAAAATCTAAGGAAACTTCATTGCTTTGATTTTGGTCCGTAGGAGGCGATTGAGAGGTTTGGGATTTTTTTTTTATCGTAGATCTATTTTTTTACACAATAAATTTTAGCCCTCCTTCCTAGGCAGTGTTCAACGGGATTAGGTTCTATTTTGGTAGGTAGTAAAGCAAACATGTACATATGTATTACTTTTGCAATACATATGATGGTTATTACACATACAGAAAGAGAGAGGTCGTCATCAGTTATAACCTTGCATCATCGAACACATTCGAGAAAGAATGTACTCTATAATGTGACAAATGGTATTTTTATTATTATGAATTAAATATTTAATTTTTCCAGTAATTTTTTCCCAAAAAAATCTATACAGTGCTCCGATCTGGGAATAATTACACAATTCATCATGCTTTTAAGTGCATAAGAGACATATGGATCTATCTTCTATAACACATGTTTTATTTTCTTTGAAGATGATAATAAAACAATTATCTTTGTGTATTAACTAACTCTATGTATAAGGTATTATAAACAATGTAAGAAAGTACTCCGTATTACGTAAATTAATATGGTGGATGCACTTGAGGTTGAATTTTCATCTCCCATGGCTAAAATTTGTAACCTTTAGAGATCAAAAAAAAGCTAAAAGATATTGTCAAAGAAAATGTTGACAAAGCTTCAATGTTTGAAGCTGGGATGATTTCCAGTACACAATATAATGCGGGATAAAATTTGATGTATGCAAAGAATTTCCCAATTTTTTTTGTACAATCATAAATTAAAGTGCGGAAATGGTTCCGATGTAACAAAGGTCATTAATAGGCAGACTACAATACATGCTTACGAAAACCAGAGAGTTGTACTATTAACTGCCCAGTGAGGATGTACAAGCTATTAGAGCTTGCAGAGAGTTAACAATGTTCTACATAGCGTATTTAAGGTAGCATGTGAAGCATTGGGGTTATTAACCGATGATAAAGACCTTATTCAAGGTATAAAAGAGGTTGCTAAGTTAGGATTTAGTAATATGCTAAAATGTTGTTTGTCCACATACCATGCGTCACCCATACATTGTTTTGAAAAAATTATCGGAACTCTTAGTGAATGGAATTTTATTTGATCGAATGAAAATATTTTGGAATCAAGGTACTTGAATATGAAGATAGTTTTTTAATGTATTAATCCATCTGAAACACATTATATGAAAACAAAACTCTTTAATTGAGCACTGCATAGAAACAAATAATTCTTTTTTTGCAGAGCTTATAATCTTATGAGAAGACCTAAAGAATTTATGTCTAATTGAGATTGAAAATGTAACACCCCAATCCGTATAACCCGGAATTACACGAATTAAGGTGAAACGAGAGTTAAATAAAAATTTCACTTGACATTTGGAAATGACAATTTCTGATAAATATTAAATTTACAGACTCTGGATCGCGACCCATTTAAAAATATTTTCAGAGTAATGCGGAAGTACAATAATAATCAAATCATGACACATTTTAAAA